AGGATGAACTGCTCCATCACCTTTCCAGGGATGGAAGTGAGGCTGACCGGCCTGTAATTGCCCGGCTCCTCCCTCTTGCCCTTTTTGAAGACTGGATTGACATTGGCTCTCTTCCAGTCCTTGGGCACCTCCCCTGCTCTCCAGGACCTCTCAARGATGATGGAGAGAGGCTGAGCAATARCCTCGGCCAGTTCCCTCAGCACTCTCGGGTGCATCCCATCTGGGCCCATAGATTTTTGAATGGCCATATATGATTGCATAGCTCGAGTTGTATGGTTCTTTCACGATATCACTTTTATTCAGGTAACAGTTTGATCAGAGCCTTCAACAAGTTACTTGTTCATTTATCATCAATCAAAGAGCCTATTACAGATGTCACAATGTCATTTCAGATTCTGTCTTTTTTGACTACATTTTAATCACTGAGCTAGCTGCAAGGCACTGCTGTTCACTGCTGAACAGATACAGATGACAACAGGTAATGTAGACAATGTTTATTGATTGAAAAATAGCAAAAACACAGACACGTGTCTGAATAGTCCTTCTTAAGGTATAGGTTATGATGTGAAACAAATTGATTGCTTGTGTGCTTTTCAGAGTGCAAAGAGTTGGCCCTTCAGTGAGAGAGGCCGTGGTACAAGGTATAGTTCAGCAGTTTTTACAAAACTGAAGAACCTGCCTATAAAACATCCTCAGAAAAAGCTAAGACAGGCAATTTTTAATCCACTTAAAAACCTGGAAAGCGTTCCCAACTTTACATGCTTTTTGAATTTTCCTTAAGTCGTGGGTAGGCGGTTATCCGATTGCTTGACTGGCTCCAGAGGATCAAGGCTGTTTTCCAGCTTCCTTTTAGCACAGTCCACACATGAAGTTCCTGCACAGGAAAAGAAGAAAAAAAGAGTTGTATGGAGCAATGTTAGAGCACTTCTTTCACAAGACTTTGGTGTATTTATTACAAGCATCCAGTAGGAAAATTTTGTCACACTAACCCCTGCTGCAAGTCTGTACCCCCAGTTCAGTAGCCTCAAGCTTTTCCACACATTGAACTATAGGACTCATAGTATTTTTTCTCTTTTCTTTCTTTTTTTAATATTAAAATAAGTGCTAAGGCTGCTTTTAAGGAAGATGTTACTGGGTAAGTTAGTAAAAGGAGTTTTATGTTAAGTGKACTTGGACTAAGTTGGGTTTAAGCAGTTGCTTTCTTATTCTTCACTGATATCCAACTGTAATTAAAAAAAAGATATCAGAAACACATCTGAAAGACAGAAAAGTTTAAAATCTAACTGGAGGTACAAAAAAGTACTTCCAGAAGTAATGAATTTGCACCTGCCACTAAGTCTCAGCCCTCTCATAGTTTTTCACTGTTTTAAAAGAAACACATCGTTGCATGTCCTACAATAATGAAAAAAGGTCATCGATACCAATAACCTTGATATCATTTGTAGCAGGAGCACAAAGGTCTTAGAGAACATTTTTGAAGCSTTTCCTCCAAGAAACAAAATTGCTACTTCAGCAAGTAACACAAAGAAAACTGAGCAGTGCTTTACAAAAAGTCATCCTCAGTACTATGTGCTTCAGTTTGCCTCTCATTCTTCTGCATCTTCTTAAGAAAAAAAAAAAAAAACAAGATTTCCATATATCTTTGGAAATTTAAGATAACGTGTGTCCATGTGTGCCCATGAATTTAGATCATATCGACGAGCAAAAATCAGTGTTCATACATATTTGCTGGAGCTTCTCCATTATATCCTTTTTTATTCAACCTACATTTGAAAGTGCCCAGGTATCTGCTCATCATAGAAACAAATGAGGGAGTAAAGAAACTGCTAAACATATTTTCACAGCCAAATCAGGGCTCTGCGTAATAAGAATTTAATTACACTGCAAGTAAATGACTATTTTTATATCCCTGCTAGTTTTTCTAAGAAAATAAGAATGTGGTTTACCCAGCAGTGTTGTGTTGTCCACTCAATCAGCATCTAGAGTGAGAGAGACAGGAACAGCAGAGTTAGCTTCCAAAGACGAGATTATACCTTTAACTTCCAAAATTACCTTTCTGACAAATTTCTTATGCTTTTTTTTGAAACAAGGATTAAAAGATGTTCTTCACAGGACACTGGAGACACTTGTTTTACAAAACAATACAGGAACATGAGAAAACAAAAGTGAAACCTGGCAGTTTGTAACGTAAAGGGCAGCTGTCCAGTGTTGCTGGGTTCTTGACTTCTGAGTCAGATTTTGAATCCAGAGTAAGGTCCTTCTTGCAAGTATTGGGCTTGTGAGTAATCCCATGGAATGAAAAAGAGCAAATCTGTACATGTTGGCAGTGCTACAGGACAATCTTGCAATTGTTTCCAGGAATAATATCCCTTCTGGTTTTGCATTTAGAGGCTAATTAAATACATCTTTCCATGCTATTTTGAGTTCAATGGCTGCTCTACAGTAGAACTTATTTTTAGGTGGCTGTACAGCAACTTTCTGCAACCTAAATGCTGTAGGGCTTAAAAGAATCTTGTCTAAATGCAGTTTCAATCCACTTGAAATCATTACCCAATTGAGGCACTCACCTGCAGTCTTTTGTGTGACGGCAAACACAAATCCTCCTACTTCCACTTCCACTGTGGAGGAATTGTAGTCAAAACAATCTCCCAGACATTGCAGATCAGAAAGTGTTGTGAAGTAATATTCTTCGCAAGGTAATTTTATTTTCCTCAACTCCAGATCTGGATAGCTAACTGTAGAACTGCCCTTGCTGGGAGAGCATTAGAGAAATCTCCCTCTTTTGTCACCACACGGTTGTCATTTCTGTACCTTACTTTTTTAAATACATAAAAAGCCCTTCATTGTTACTCCTAAGTGGTTTTAGGAGTTGAGAGGATGCAAGGGGGAAAAAGTGAGCAAAAAGATSTAATTGGTACAATTTAGTCTCCTCTTTGAGCAGAATTATTACCTACAGCACAGATATTGACTTAGTTCCCATTATAATATGCACTACCCAGAAGCAGACATGCTACAGCATGGCATTCACTCTCCACAGAGAGCCTCTTACTCYGTTCCCTCAGTTTTTGTCCCCATGAGTCTCATGTAAAGCTGAATATTCTTCGGAGTACTGCTTATACCCTTCAACATTTTCAGATTTCATTCTCTTTAATCATACTATAAGTATTTTGGTTCATTCAGATGATCCCATGAATTATTTAATTTCTTCCAGCCTTTCACTGACATCTCCCATTGCACATAACACGATCCTGGATCCTGAACCGATTAGCACAGACAAAAGCTATATACATGAATAAAAGGAAACATAAACAAGAGGAACAAAATATTAACAATAAAATGACAATTTCAAAGGTTAAACTGACAAGAATTTGAGACTTTAAAGAATGAAATCGTGTTCTGCCTTGTGTTCCAGCTCTGCATGCTATTCATAAGCAGAGCTCACATGGGCCACCCTCTACCTACACAGAAGGTGAAAGCCTCAGGCCAACAGCTGGTTGTTCACATAGAGATTCCTACTAGCTACATGACCCAACTTGTGTCATTAAAGAGAATATATCACCTGGACTTCTCTGCTTGCAGTTTGAGCAGTCAAGTCTTGTATGWACTCTGGAAATTGTTTAAAGCTTAAGACACTACTTTTATCCCATGCAGAGGCATATCTGCCTGGAGCTTGAAGAAGTGTTCTTCATTTTCTGAAAGCTCTACCATGTAATGTTCAAAATCCACCTTATTCTTTACAGCGTAAAGAGAAAGAGCTTGGAATATCTGATCACGCAGGGTCTCTCCACAGCCCAAAACAAAAAAGACTTGGTTCGATACAGATTTTGAAGAACGTCCTGTTAAAAAATGTAAGCACACACAAAAAGAACATAAAATTTATTTACTACCATAAACAAAAGGCAAAAATTGAAACCTTTGAAACATGTTCAGCTTTTTGAAAAAACAAAGTGATTATCAGTATTAAACCTAATTAAGGATTTGTTAAAATTGGGACAAACTGATATGTCACAAGTAATGACTCTCCAAAAACCTGTATCAAAAATCAAAGTCCCAATCCAAAAATGAAGTAAATATGTAAATTTTCTTTAAACAGAGAAAAGTCTTCCAGTGAAGTATAAGTACTGCCTACTCTTATAAGAAATGGGAGCATTTTTTCCACTCTCATCATACCTTATTCTTATCTTTCAAATCTAAAGATTCCATAGGCTTGCCCAGTTGCTGACCAAATATTTCGAGTAAATTACCATAGTTTGTAGTCGGGATCATCGTGCCTCTCTCCATTAGCCTTAGGACAGGCTGCAGAACAACACGATTCTGAATATGGTCTTCTAAATTATCAAACACTTCCATTAAGCAGTCCTGGAAGAAGCTGGGCTTGGTATCACCAATCCGCTGAAGAAAGATGGACAAACAGTTTATAAGGATCATGTGCACCAAGAGAACTGCCTTCAGTGGGAAAAACACAGCACTTGCTTATTAAATACCAAAGATTGGTTCTAAATGGAAAATGTGTAACAGTTTTTGCGAGCTCTTTTACACATAAAACATAAAAATCTGAAGACAGAGAAGTATCAACAATAATTTCAAATTATTCAAGTGCTCTTGTCTACAGTTTACATGGCTCAAAATAATACTGACTTTTTTCTTTTTGAAAAAAGTTTTTCTTTTTGAAAAAAGTTTGTAGTACAGGTACAATCTGTACTACAGAGGTAAATCTCTGCAGTATTTTGCCACACTAAAATTCAGACACACACCCTCACCCTATCTTTTCTATACAAACCTTCAGGTGCACTTGCCTAAAAACATGGGCTGCATTTACCCACCATATAATATATACATATACTAGCAATTCCATAAAGCTTCAAGTTGCCTAGTCATCAAATTGTTTTACACATACTGTCCAAGAAATCTGCTTAGAAGCCCAGTATGGTGACTGGCATAACTACATGGAAACATCCCTTTTCCCAATACCCTTCTCTCGTTTTCCAAGCGGTCAGTGCGCTAACGTTATCACAACGTGTTTTCAAAGGCCGGAATATTATTGSTAGAGATTTTTTTTCTTCTGCTGTGCTCTGATCAATAAAGAAGTTTCTTTATCTTTTTATCTGCTGCAAACTTAACTATACACACGCCGATGTCTCCCATAAAGAAGCGTTTGCTACACTTTTGGTGTACAGAAAACTCTTAGGATGTATTTCTAACTGCTGAACACATCCGACAACCTAGCACTATGTACATTGCTATAATTAAACYAGAAGACCAGGCAAAATTATTAAACACAACCTGAACAAACCTCTGTAACTAAAAACCAAAAGCTGAGAGACTGAGCATGTATGGACTTCAGAGAAGTATATGGTGCAGCAAGGAGAAGCCTGTGTGATCTAAGGCCATCAGTAAGGTCATGGGCTACACTATTTTCAGGATCTCTCTAGTTTGAGCCAACAGAGCTATAAATTCCTCTTTCGGTTCAGGGCAGCATTGCTGAGAACCTTTTAACAGTCAAGACCTTTGTTTGGGTTACTTAAGACAGAAGTGTAATCTTTCCCAACAATTTTTTGCTAGACTAAAAATCATCTACGTAATGATTATCACCACTTTTACAAGAGCAATACAGTATTTCTAGTTTGACAATATACTAAAAGGTAAAATACATCTTTTATGTATATTTATTTGTATAGGCATATATAACCTTTACGCATGTTTTAACTTTGAAACGGCAAAATTTACCTAAAAAGATCATCCCAATACCTCTACATATTTATTCCTGACAAAACACAGCTAAGTGCTGATGTCACAAGTAAACAGTGACAGACCAGATTCCTAGAGTAAATAAAGTAAAATTTGTTATTTTAAAAGTTTATCTTTAAAAAGAAGTTATTTTATTAATACACCTTAAAAATTCACATCCTGATTTCTCTACCTTCTAACAGGCCGTTCTATCCTACCATAACAACCACCCCACTGGTGAAAGCACTGCCTAGGTCACCAATTAAAAACAACTGTGCTTTATAAAAGCAAGGATTTTTCCGCTTCTCCAAAACATACAGTGATTAGATCACCATCCCAGCAAGACTTCCAGTTCTAGAAAGCCGTCAAGAATTTTAGTTGATAACAATAAAAAGTCAATAATTTCAGATGACATAAGCTACAAATATACTCACTGGGGACATTTTCCGAATGAAATCTTGTGCAACTACGAGCACGTCTCTGTCCTGGTCACTTCTTTACAAAAACCAGCAATATCAGCTGGGGGAAGCACCTCCAGCTGCTCAGTGGCTTCAATGACGGCCTCCATGCAGCCCCTCCAGSAGCAGAGCCCCGGGGTTCCTGGGGCCACAGCAGCACCTACCCCAGTTCCAACCACCAGGAGAAGGTCCCAAGGCTGCCTTCTAATTAGGCTTTTTAAGAATTTTCTTGAAAACAAAAGAAAAATCTTTATTTTCTATAGCCCTTCTGTGTTGCCTGAAGCTCTCTAATGAACTCTCTAATGAACTCTCTAATGAAYTACTAAACTACTAAAAGTAACAACTTTTATTTACCTTTATTCTTGCTATGGGATAGGAAATGAAAAATGTAAATAACTATATAAATGTTACTATACAGAAATTCAGAATTCACTCGACTTTACAGATCATTAACGTCTGTTAATCCAGCAATATAGATGTTTTTAATCTCTTATTTCACAACATCTTGAAACTATCTAGCAAAAAATGAAAATGGTTAACTTGAAATGGCTTCAGACACAGCAATTAAGAAATAAGAGGCATTTCCTCCATGCCCAGCAGCAGTGCATCCCTGTGTGTAAGAAGTCAAGCAGAGGGGGCAGGAGGCCTGCRTGGATGAGCAGAGAGCTCCTGGCAAAACTCCAGCAAAAAAAAGCAATATATAGAATGTGGAAGAAAGGACAGGCTCCTTGGGATAAATACAGGAACGTTGTCAGGGAATGCAGGGATGCAACRAGGAAAGCTAAGGCACGCTTGGAATTAAATCTGGCACAGGATGTTAAGAGTAACAAGAAAAACTT